TCAATTTGCTCCGTTGAGGAAGCTTCCCTGGCTGGTGATGGCTTTGTAAAAGTCCCGAAAGCCAACTTTTTCTGGCTACCGCCATGGGCCGCAAAGTTAAATTTGACAGGTTCCAGCTTCGTCATTTGTACTCCCAGTCCGCGCAAATCACCAGGGCTAAATTTATAAGACCGTAGTATATTGACGGCCTCCTTGCCGATTGCTTGCCCATCATTGGTGGCTACACCGAAGGTAATGCTCTTGTTGAATGTGTCGCATTTACCGTGCCCTAGCGATTTTGGAGGGTCCAGAGGAGCGTCTATCGCTCTTCTCATGATCTTCATCGTTAACTGGCGTCCTTTAACATTTTCACTCGAGAGTCTTTTCTCAAGCTCCTTGCACAAATTATAGACGAATTCTTCTGCTTCCGGCTGGCTGATGAATCGGATGCCCCAGTTAACTTCCGCTGAGACGGATTTTCGAGGTGGCTGTTCTCCAACTTCTGAGCGATCAATACCACGAGCATATTCCCAGAGTTTCTCGCCTGTTTTAGGTCCAAGAATCGACGTGAGGCGCTCTTTCGAAACCTCCCGCAGGTCTTTAACGTGAGTAACACCGATATCCTCAAGCTTCCCACCGATACTCCGGGCAACTCCAGGAAGCTGATCCACTTTGAGATCCCCCATTATGTGCAAGACATTTTCAGGTTTCAGTTGATATTGACCTGCAGGTTTCGCTTTCCGAAGCGCCACTTTGGCTTGTAGTATGTTTGCTCCAATGCCGACCGAAACATGGCAACCCGTCAGAGATTTGACCTTGTCGCGAAGATCCGTTGCAAGCTTGTCTGCCATGTCATGCTCCCAAGCCGTGTTTTCTGCATCAGAGCTCGTACCCTCAGAGTTGGAACTTGTCAAAACGATTGGCGTTATGTCCACGAGAGCCTCATCAATACTCACACTCTGCACCAAGCCGCCAATTTCTAGGATTGATTCATAAAACAGACGGCTCGCTTCTTCGTATGCAGGAAAATCATAGGGGAGTACCTTCAGTTCGGGGCACATTTCAAGTGCCGATTTCATCCACATCCCATTTTTGACGCCAAAGTCTCGTGCAGGATAGTTGCAGCTTGCAATTTCCGACCCTGAACCTGTGCTGTGGGCAACGACAGCTGGCTTATCGATATACTCGGGACTTTTCTTTATTGAAACCGCACAGAAGAAGCTGTCAAAGTCAACATGCATGACGTATCGTCTCGGGAAAAGTCGCTTCTTAGCGTGTGGACAAGATTGGCCCTTTTCTGCAGCAAGCCGTTGCATCTTCGATTTCAGCTCGGCTTTCCATGTCGAGAGATGATGTAGTCGACTTTCGGAGTAAAACTGTCTAAGGAAATCCGGGTTGGCCGTTGAGGACTTCCTTAGCCTGGGATCAGACAATAACATTGCATTATGCTCCTCGGATGTCAATGGCTTCGAAGTGTCCGGGTGTGTGTGTGTGGATTGTGCTACAGGCACAGGAAGAATTCTTGTTTCAGGCCTCAACATTTCGCTATCAGTTGTCTCTAAGTCTAGTGAAGCCACAACTGGTTGGTCCTTGGGAGAGACACTTGGGGGAGCTACTGGCTTCTTAATGCAAGAGCTATTGGCATCTGCCATTATAGGTGTCGTGCCTACACCATTTGTAGGACGAACAGGGGTCCGAGCCTTCTCAGCAGCTTGACTTAGAGACTGGCTAGGGAAGGAAGATGCTTTAAATTGATTCGCGTAGAAACTGTTCTCTGTTTGTTCACGATAGCCTTGTTTAGAACGAGGAGTTGACGGTGACAGACCGCTATTGCCGTCGAACTTGAGAACTTTTTGCCTCGGTCCTTCGTCCAGAACCCGATAGTTAGACCACGAGAGAATTTGCCCAGCCTTGATAGATTCAATGATCCATGCCGGTTTAACGATTCGGTACCGGCTGAAGTCGACAGATTTCTTAGGGGGGAGCGTCGAGGCAACGATGTGAGTCGCCATTGTTTTCGAATCCAGGTATTGAAGAAACCCACCACCATGTTGCACAATCTCACGATGAAGACTAAATTTTATCAGCAAGAGAACCCTATCTAGGAGGAGGGGACGGGCGTACACATGTAATGGTGGCTGGGTATATCCAGTAACATGAACGACAATCCCTTTGAATATTTGAGGTTTATCTGAGTTGGCTCGTATTTCAGCATCGAGGTTTTGAAGCTTGATCTTCTTGCGCCTGAAATAGTCGTTGAACCCATTGAATTCACTGCCCTCGTATTCCTCCCCTCCTTCGTCTTCAAATTTATGCGTTTCGATACGCTTTCTCACTTGCGAGGAGTTTTTCTCAAGAACACTCCCCATTCTGGTTGTCTTGCTGATCAGCTCGCCGATGTGATAATCTTAACGATAATGGTAGTGGCAATTGTGATGCGCCAGTTAACAGAGTTCGACCATCACAACTCAGCCTCGGACGTAGGTTTGATAATGAGAGACAGGATATGCAGGGAAGGGTTTAACACAACTGTTGGAAACGCTAATGCTTCAACACTGGCGTTGTGGCGATGAAGTTGGTTGTCACACAAACATCAAGAAGACTGAATGATGTCAAAAGCGCGTAAAGTGGAGTGTCGAAACGCGAATAAACACGATAACCCGTGATGAGGCTTGCACAGCCACAAGCACTAGCCACCTCGAGCCAGGCTGGAGTTCCATCTGAATCCTCGGATCAAAACCATTTAATTCCATTTACCGATTATACCCTTCTATGGGTGTTTGCCGCTGCGATGAATAACGAACAGTTCCGTAAATTGTTGGCTGCGAATGCAAAGAAGAACTCTGATAGTCAAAATGGTGCGCCCACAGGCTCATCATCCACAGGCACCGGGAATGCGCTCGGTTCAAGGCAACGATCGAGCATCCCAATGACACCGTAAGTACTTCTGCACTCCTAAGGATGAAATCTCTGATGAATCAATACAGGCGCGCTCTAGGGGGTGCTCAAGCGGACTTTGCGCGACAACTGGCTGAGCGGAACAACGCGGTTCGACCTCAAAAGAAGTTCAAATCTTACGATCCAAAAGGCGTCAAGCTCGCCTCGGGCTATATCGACCGGTCGAAAGAGCGTGACGAGGAAGCAAAGGACGATCGGGAACAACAACTCAAAGACCTTGAAGAACAGCTCAAGAATGAGGAGATCGACCATGACACATTTGAGAACCGTCGATTCGAGATTGCAGGAGGCGATTTAAGTAGCACGCATCTAGTTAAAGGACTCGACTTCAAGCTCCTCCAACGAATCCGGCGTGGAGAAGATATATATGGAGAAAAGAAAGACGGAGCCGAACAACAACCCACAGATGAGCCCGCCGCCGAGATTGACGTGGACGATGAATTTGAACAGCTGGAAGAGCAGGAAGTCCAAGTGGTGCCCAAAGAGAGAACCGAGACAAAGAAGAAAGGCCAACTATCTACAGTATCACTGGCACCTGGGAAGAAACGTACACGCGATCAAATTCTTGCAGAATTAAAGGCGGCGAGAGAAGCTGCCAAAGCACAGCAAGGGAATGTGCTTGGCGACCGTTTCAAGAAGGTTGGTGTCAAACAGAAGGCAGGATCGCGAATAGAGAGAGACAGCAAAGGACGAGAGGTTTTAATCATTGTGGATGAAGATGGACATGAAAAGAGGAAGGTTCGGAAAGTTCAGCCTGGCGCTAAGGAAGTTGACGAAGGCGATCGGATCGGACTTCTCATGCCAGACAAAAATTCAAAGCCGCTTGGCATGGAGGTTCCAGAACAATACAGGAAAAAGGAGGAGCCCGAGGAGGACGAAGACATCGACATCTTTGACGGCGTGGGTGATGATTACGATCCACTGGCTGGGATAGACGATTCAGGTTCAGACTCTGGTGCGAATGAAGATTCGAAGAAGATGGAACAAGAAACAATGGATGAGGGGGATATTGCTAACCCATCGATGCAACCGCCACCAAAACCACAAGCGCATCGAAATTACTTCCAGGGAGCAAAGACAGGTCTAGTGTCAGAGGAGCAGAGCAAAGCGCCTTCTATGTCAGATCCCGCCATCATGGCAGCCATCAAGCGAGCAGCGGCTCTCAATCCTATCAAGAAGGCCAGGGATCATGCTGAAGAAGAAGACGACGATGACGACGGCCAAACTGAAGGAATGAAGAAGGAGGCGATGGAGGAAAAAAGAAAGAGGCTCCTACAGATGGCGGATCGCGATGATGAAGATCTCGATATGGGCTTCGGTACTAGTCGGTTTGCCGACGAAGAAGATTTTGACGATAGCAAGGTCAAGCTGTCAACCTGGGGAGACAAGGGTGACGATGGCGAGGGGCAATCAAAAGGAGGGCAATCAAAACGAAAGCGAGGCCCGAAGAAGAGGAAAGGTGATGCTAATAATGCTGCAGATGTACTGCGGGTTATGGAAGCGCGCAAGAAGTCATGATGAACGGCATGAGGTTTTCTGGTAGCATACCTATCATGAAACATATCTTAGTCGGCACAAAGCCGAGGCTTGATACCCAAAGTGCTGTAGTTAGGATTGCATAGGTACCTTAACGTAATACTTAATCAACTTTTCAAGTCACACTTACCGTGGAAGCAAAAGACCCATCAATCGTCTCCTGGGTCATAACCACCTGCTTTAAGAGGAAGCTGTTTGGCCTTGTTAGCTCGCGCCAAGTTGTTAGTTAAGTCAGGATTGCTCGGTGACAATCTAAAACCAGCAAAGTGAGGGGAAAACACCCCACTACGACGTACCGTACCTAGGTAGGTAAGCCAAACTGTTTCAGCGTCCACCATGATAAAAGAGTCTCTCGGTTTGTAGAAACGTCACAACTTCAACAACTCACCTACAGAATCGTATTTCCCTCAGTTGGTCAAGTGAACTTTATCCCCATCCCACCCTATTCTGTCACTTTATCCTTTCTTGCATTCAGGCTGAAACCTGGGATTTTCTTGACACCGTGCCTTTTATCTGTCTGTTCGATAATGTCTGAAGGTCAGGTGCCTGTTTGGCTGGATTGTGATCCAGGTCATGATGTACGTATAAAAAAAACGGTGCTTATAGCCTTGATCTCATACAACTCCTTAGTTCTGTTGCGGGGCTCGGTGATGTTTTTGTTTCTTTTTATTTTCTCTTCATGTCTCATAAAAGCGCTCAGCAGTTACTAAGTTTCTTGATAGGACGCTTTCGCTATTCTTCTGGCGGCTTATCATCCTCAGATCAGATTGCTCGGTGTCTCAACGGTCTTTGGCAATGCATCTCTTGAGTGAGTCATCTAAACCAATCTTGACTTTACGGCAATGTCATTGAGAACAGCTTGTTAACGTTTGATCAGAAACACTACACATAATGCTGCCTCCATCCTCACCGCCATTGGTATGCATGATATTCCTCTGTATATCGGCCTGGGTAAGGCTCTTGAACGTCCTGCCCTTCATGCACCAACGGATATCCACGGTGTTTCTGGCTTAGATGGCACCGACCTTCTTCCTGAGCCACTCGTAACCCCCTCTCATATCCCGGCTGTTGAGGCGATGGCGGAGGCCCTCCGTGCTCAACCCGCTGGTACAGCGTGGATTGTTGCAACGGGTGCGCTGACGAACGTTGGGGCTCTGCTCCGTGCGTATCCAGAGCTTATCAGTCACATTAAGGGTGTCAGTCTTATGGGAGGCTCTATTGGCGACAATTTCTCAGATGCACCGCTCGGTGAAGTTGATGGTCACCCTAGAATCGGAAACTACACGCCTTGGGCTGAGTTCAACATCCTCGTTGACCCAGAAGCTGCTGCTACGGTGTTCCATACCAAAGAGATCGCTGCCAAAACTACGATTGTGCCCCTCGATCTCAGCCATCAGGTGTTGGCGACATCGGAGGTGAGAGAGATGCTGCTGTACGGCCCCGATGCTGAGCGGACAGGTCCCGGGAAGACAACTCTCCGTACCATGCTTGTTGAGCTCCTTTACTTCTTTGCTCAAACATATGCGTAAGTCAACACAGACAATGACATGCGCTCCTTCGACTAACAATTTAGTGACACCTTCGGTATTACCGCTGGACCCCCTCTGCATGATCCTATTGCCGTTGCTGCTGTACTTTTTGGCACCGAAAATGAGATTCCCTTCTTCGAGTGGGACGCCAAGCACAGTCAGCCCCCTGAGCATAATGAACGCTTCGAAGTCACTGTCATAACTGAGGGCACGTTCGAAGAGGCTAAGGAGGGTAGGCAGACAGGTCGCACATTGGCCAAGTTGCTTCCGCCAGGTCAACAAGGTGTTAGAATTCCTCGGGGAGTCGACACTGCCAAATTCTGGCAGGTTATCGAAGAGTGCATTGAGCGAGCAGACGCAAAAAATGCTGCTCTTGCGCTTGCGAAGTAGTCTCCAGGGAAGAGTCAAGGTGCTACAGTAGAATAGAAACTGCGCAAGTAGGATTAGATGATTGGACGACATACTGCGTCATGACGAATCTATCAAGTCTTGTTATAGTCTATAATTCATTGAGGATGGTCTCCTTACTGCCCGAATCCCAATCGAGCATCAAATTCAAGCTCTGTTCATATGTCCAGAGAGTGACAGCGCTCGCAGGGGCTGATTTGAGAAGACTGATAGTCAGGCCCTTGTACAACCCGCGGAAACCTTCTGTGCGTAATATCGTTAAAAGTGCGCTCCGTGCCGTGGCGTACTCGGGAATGTTTTGGTAGATGTATTGCTGTCGCGCTGGTCCCTGCACCTGAATACGCTTTCGTACAAGATCGAGAGGGAATACAGCTGTTTTGGATAAAATGCTGGCACACATGCCAGCAGTAGCGTCTCCGCTGCCCCATGGCATGTGTAATCCCTCTAGAGACGTTCTAAGGGATTCATAAGTGACGAAAAAGATGCCCATGAAGGGTATGATTTGGCCGAGTCCAGGCCCAATGCCTCTAAAAAAGCCGCGCCAACCCTCATCGCGTTTTATATCCCAGACGGCACTGCGCAGCGATTGGTAAACACGGTGTCGACCCTGAGCTGCGAATCGTGTTCTTAGCAAATCGAGAGGATATGTGACGGTGGTGGCAGCAGCACCAGAGGCAGCACCAGCAATAAAACTTTCGGCAGCATCGGGCAACCTTGAGGGAAATGCTGTTCGGAGGAACAGGGTCGCCGAGCGGTATGTTGTGAATTGTACGGCACCATAGCATACATACATAAGCTCTGCAGGAACATTACCCTTCCACAGGCCTGTCAAACCTTCATGCTTGAGGATGTGTTTCAGGGTCGCGAATGCTCCTCGATAAGCCGGTACGTTGCGCAAAGCTGCTACGGGATCGGACAGAGAATGAGGCTGGAGTTGGAGACGGATCTTGACGACATCGAGGGGAGCAACAACGAATCTAGAGATCAATTAGTATCAGTACTGACTATCATTGTTCGAGGAGGGCGGGAGATAAAAGAAACTCACCTAGAAACCAAACCTGCCACTGCTCCGGCAGCTATGACTTGGACCCTCGAGCCCTAGTTCCCATTGTCAGCCAGCTGCCCGAAGAATTTCAGAACCAGCACCTTACCTCATCCTTGAGGCGCCCTTCTTTGTGCGACATGCATTCAACCACAGCCCTGAAGGACCACAGGCAGAAGAGATGCTTTGTATCTCGAACGCGCTTTGCTAAAGCCTAGCCGAGATATTGTAGCTCAAGAATGCGGAAATCGACGATGTTGATGGTGTTGATGATGTGTCGGTTGAGCGCAAAGCGAAGTCGTTCAAGGTTGATGAGCCAAGTTGCTGACAAGGTAAAATGATGCAACGTCGGCGGAGATAGATGCCCGTGGCAGGATTAGTAGATGAATATGGGCTGCGCTTTTGCAAATTGTTGCCAATTTTGTCATTCAAAGATTCTAATGGAACCTGTTTGAATCGCTAATGCTCTAGAGTTTTCTCCGAGGAGCGTATTGGTCAAGTTGTGATTCTAGGTATAGTAGATATCACGGGAAATGAAATCCGTGCTCAGATTGGCTAAAATTTACCCTTGATCATCTTCAAGCTCACGATGGATTTTTTTTTTGGTGACGGCATGATTTCCTAATGTCGATTGCGGTTTGCGACGGTTGTTAACGGTAGAGACAACGCCATGGTTATGCACGGGATTCTATCGTTGGATCAATGTCTCCTGATACTGCTGAATGGGATACGAGATATTCCTCTAGCAGAAACTAAATCCGAGATTGAGTGAATGAACGATCTACAATAGTACCAACCAGCCTCGGGGTCTCTTGCACCGATGGACGAGGATTTCATCAACCGAGCCGATGGAGATCTGCCCGGAACAATGAACGATAGCCTCAAGGGTCTGGGCCAGGTTCCACAGCTTAGGCCGCTGGAACTAACCAAACAGAAGTTCGACAATGTCACCCTGACGCTCTACATACCAGTATGTGTTCATACTAGTATATGCATAAGGCTCAGGGCCAAATAAAGCTCATAAAGCATCAACTTGATGAGCTACGAGCATGGAAGATATCGCTGTGAGGACCATTAGGTCAATCATGACTGTAACAGCGTTAATAATTCTACTTAGCTTGGAGTAAAACGTGGGGTTTCCCGTCTCCACACCACGAACTGCTATCAAGGATAGAAAGAAAACTCGGGACCTCAATCCTCATTGACAAAAGGACTTACGTATATTAGCACAAGTTTAGGATGCATCTTGCTGAGTTTATTTTGACACCCTACTCCAAAGCCTGATGTTTTCCTGCTCCCCTAGGTAGGAGGAATCCTGTGCCTAGTCTCCATTGCTCCGGCCGAGAGGCTGTTCCCCAAGCTGTTGCTCCGATGCCGTCATTGGCTAAGGACATTTGAGACTGCAACCCCAGAACAAAGCTTGGAGACATCCGAGACCTCTCTCGGACAGAAGCACGCATGGGTATGGCACGTCACTTGCCTCTTTGATACCTCGTGCCGCACCGCCGACAACTCTTGCCGGACGCACATGCTCCTCCGGCTCTTATATTTCACCAATCCCTCCCACTTTAATCTCACTTCTTCCCATGCAACCAGATTTTCAGAAAGGCTCTTTTAATATCCTTCGTCTCACAGCGCTTAATCCTGTCCTCCATCTTTCCCTCGACCAACGAGACTGCTCCAGTCACACATAAATTCCATCCTTTACACAGTCCTCCCACGATACCCTCAACTCGGTCGATTTCGCATACATCTATTACCGTGTACTCTATAGAACGCGACCACAATAACGACACCTTGTCCAACCTTGCGGCGCTCAATCTGACAATGACCACCACGCAGCTTCCTTCGCCAGACACAACAGAGCTTCTTGCGCCGTTTCTGCCTGCTCTCCCACCATCTGCTATCTCTACGGAACCTGCGATTGGTATTCTACCACTTTTGTCCCCCATACTTCGCCAACGAGTCAAGCTTCTATCTACATCAAGTACCGAGCCATGGATTCGACTTCTGTGTTACGACAAGGCAAAAATACCTGAGCTGATTCAGATCGCCCAAGGCGGTGGTCTTGAGCCACATCCGGTATCGGGTGAGGTCGAGGTCGACTGGGATTATGATGCAGAGATACGTTTTCGTCGGGTCGATGAGGAGACTCTGCAAGCTCTCGTTGCGCTCTCCACCCTGGGCTTGGCCTTCCAGTTGATCTATTGTGTTGGGGACGTTGAGGGCGGAGGCGATGGCTGGAGAGTTGGCGAGGTCACTGTAGCAGACAAACCCTCGCCTTACTTGCAATTTGGGGGAGCATCCAGCATCGCAGAGGCCGAGAGACAGTTCAGAGAAACACAAGCGATGAAGGTGACCAGCCAAGCCAAGGACGCCAACGGCCACGGCCATGGCAATAGCCTGCATATTTCTCATAGTGGCCACGAAGAAGAGGAAGAGGAGGACGATGATTACTGGGCACGGTACGATGCAACTCCATCCCGGACACCAGCGCAGAAACAGTCGCCTGCACCTCCTTCAAAATCTACTTCTCAAATCGGTGGTGTTCGTGCATCTTCGGCAGAGGACGCATATTTTGCTCAATATGACAGTGTTCAGCCTGCTATGGATAATCATGACCCAGATGAGGAAGAGGCTGCTGCGCAAATTGCTCCACCTCTTGGACTCGGACGAACCCAAGAATCTGCAGAAGCCACAGAGCTTAATGAGACACAGGGCGCATGGACATTGGCCGAGATCGAGAAGAGTGATTCAAGCCCGACACAAAACGGACATGATACCGAGCGTCACGCCGCTCTCCTTCACCCACGCCCAGCCTCAAGCGCCAGTTCCAACGGCTCAGAAACAGTTGCTAAGCTTGAGGCGTCTGCCGGCAAACAAACTCAAAATGAGTTCGGTGTCAAGCAGCATGTATCGCGCAGTATTCGAAGCCTGTTCATGCTTTCGCGTGCTTCAGGTATTGATCGCCAGGAGTTTGAGAGCCTTGTTCGTGCCGAGCTCGATATTCTGGGCATAGTTGAGGCTCAAGAACAAGTCTAACACCTTTTCATCACGAATTTTCATATTCCCGCATAAGTAAATTGGAAGCCCTTTCAGGCGGGGTCTTGCATCTTTTTCTACCCGGTATTTCAACATGCATGTCAGGCGTTGGTTCTTAGGCATTTGGATGGCATCTTGAGCATTGACAAGGTCTTCAGCCTTCTTATCTAACTTGGGCGGAACTTGGACATGAGAATAGGTTGGACAGTATCTCATGAGAGAATCGCAGATGGTTCAATATGAAAGGTTCAATTAGCCAAGTCTGTGTGCATAGTGATGATGTCGGCGATGACTAGTCACCCCGTGCTCGACAGCCTCCTGTTCATCGCATATGTCACTCCCAAGGCATATCATGATAGTATACGGTCTTTGATCTTAACAGGGCACAATCGTATTGTCAACGTATGCCGAAGTACTTCGATGATTGAAAAGAGTAAGCTCCCACCAGCGGGGAAAATGCTGTATTAAATCACGATGGCAACTCAGATATAAGCTTCCGAATCACTAGCCCTCACTTGAACTTACAAAAACTTCACCTTATAGATCTTTCACAAGCAAAGACCCCCGGGCGCTTTTATTTTTTTTTTCCATTTTTGGCTTAGGTACCTAGTTCAGCCCCCGATCAAGCTTCTGGGACTTTCTACGTATGTTCTACTTACGCGATAACTAGATTTTCTAGCGCAATACGTGCTGTCTCGAGGACTTTGGTACAATTGCGCTCTGCTGGAGAACAAGCCTTAGTCGGGTAAATAACTCCACGAGCCGCTTCATGTGCGTGACCAGCAGCATGAAGTGCGTCAAGAGCATCATGTCTCTTTTTGCTTCTCTCCTCAAGTTGCCCAACGACATCTTTGAGCCCAAGCTGTCGATAGGTCATCGCGCCTGGGATCTCCTGGTCCTTTTCATCCAACCCGTAGACGTCGAGGCGAAGGAGTCCCCTGATTGTCATTCTCCACATATCGGGAGGCATGTCCTTGTTGTTGTAGCTTTGATAAGTCGTGCAGCCCTTGGGCGTACCCCCAATGCAACCCCAGAGGCCGCCGATTTCTTTGAATGAGAACCAAAAGGTGCGTCCTTGCCGCTTGGCGAGCGCAGTCTCTTCATCTATCATTTCTAGAATCCTTGCGTAGGCGTTGCATGCAGATGGAACCAGAGCGCCAAGAAGCATGAGGTTCTGGAAAGATTGTATGGGAGGAGGCTTAGTGGGTTCGTCATGCAGAGATGCAGAACAGACATTACATTTGATAACGTCGTGAGCGACCTTGGATGCATTCCGTGCGACTTTCATGGCCGGTATAACCTCAGCCGGCAGATTTCCAAGAGACTCGAGAGCTAAATAAAGTGATGACAGACACCCGCAAGACACTGTTGGGACAGATCGCATAGATGGAGTCGGTGTTCTAATCACACTCTCTGAGGATTCAACAGAGGCACCATTTTCGCTAGAGTCAGGTGGTGTCGGTGTGTTAAAGTTCTGTTGTAATCCTGGGTTTGGGGATTCAATCTGATCTGCTAGGTACTGCTGCAGTGTTTTGCTGAGATCCATCGAAATTGTTTCTTGCGGGGCGTCTGTCTTGCCAAAATTGATACTACCAAGGAGGTCGACACCGCTCAGATCCAATGTAGGCAATGTCGCATTGTCTACGAGCAAGCCTTGGGGTTCCACGATCTGCGGGTTGAAAGAAAACGTGTCATGGCTAGCTTGCAAGCCCCATGTGTCGGCGTTCGCATTAGCTGGATCGTCCAGGAAGTTGAGATCTAGAAGCAAATCTCCGGTTGTTTGCGTCTGATTCGGGTACTCATAGGAGATATTATCATCTGACTGGAGAAATAGAAGGGCTTCCTCTGGCGGCTGGGAAATGGTCGGTGCTGGTAGAGTAGCCTCGTCATCCACATCCACATGCCGCCTCTTTCGGGGACGGCCCATTTGCTTCTGCGGAGAATAATAACATATTATTCCCTCCTTTGTACACCGAGAACAGCCATCGGGTTCTTTGGAGCATGCGAGTTTTCGGGATCCTAATGACCGATAAGTCTCCGACTCGGACACATGATGAGACACTCACGGCATTCGTCGCACGCCCTATGCTTTGTAACTCCATCGCCTGCTGCAGTGGAAGCCATTCTTCGTTCCAAGGACAATTTCCGATGTGGTATCTAAGCGGAGTCTCACTGCATGCAACAATATATGATATAGCAACAGATTGTGATACCAGATTGTGATACCAGAAGTCGCAGTCAGCGTGAGTCTTGGCTTACCCAACCTACTAACCTAACCACGAATCTGACTAATGTTGAGACACCACCCTCGTTAGGTACCTAGTAGGTAGCTACCTACAAACTACCCAATCCGCCAATTTGATCTCCCACTCCAGAGATCGACAATGCATGTGGTTATAAGTGGGCTATCGTGGAATCTGAGCCCCTAAACCTGCCAAAGGGCACTGACTGGCCTTATTAGTGACCAGATGACTCTCAATGACCACCACTGGTAGTAAGTGCAAGTTAACAAACCTTCAATCGGCAATTAACGGCTCAGCTATCTACAATAATAAATATAGAAGCTATTGGTCAAGTAAGTGACCATAAGTGTCTCTAGTGTTCTCGGCATTGGATTCTCGAGACTGGAGCAACATGAGCCTCTGTCTAACGTCAGCAAGGACACGTCAACTCAGCAAAAAGCAATTCTATTGCCCGCTGAAAGAGACACGGCTACACAAATCAGGCTTCTGTATTCTTCTGCGCCCCTCGACCATTACAATATGACCTAGTTCTTGAGGCACCGTTCACGGGTCTATGGAGATAGCTCTTACTTTGGCCCAGAAAAAAGACTTCCCCACAGTCTCATCACCGCCAAAATCCTCTTTGGGTACGATCCATGACCCTTTGATTGGTGTTACCTGTTTCTGTACCATGAAGAAGCGATAACTCCTGAGGTACAATTACACCTAAGCAAGGTTTCGTTTCTTTCTTCTAATCCAGAGACTTGTTCGGTACGAATTCTTTGCTGCATTGCTTGCCTGTTGCTACTTTGTTCCCGCCTCGTAGAAATTGTCAACCAGCTTGCGTCATGATAGAGTCGTAGACGCCAATACAACCCTACGAGAAGCAAGCTTGCCGAAAAGTCCTGCAACTGGGAGCAATCAGATTTTGCCCCTGCATAACCCTCCGAAGTTGTCGGCGCAATGACAGTCACTCCTATGGCCAATCTTGGCAATATCGCCCGCGCCGAGTACAAGGCGCTGTTCGATACCGAAGTTGCCAAAGGGATCAGAGAACCCCTTGTTCTTCCTTTCTGTCTTTTCGGTCCTTTCGTTTTGCCCATGGTCTATTTGGCAATTCCACATCGAAATCGGCCATGGCTTTACCACGCACGATGGCTTGTCGTCACTTTTGTCGTTGCCTTCGATGCTTATATGATTCGGTATATGTCTAGCTACAACGTCGCTCCAGCATATGCGTCAGGTCTCATGGGCGGATGGGGTATCTTGATGACTCTGAATCTTTTGGTTTGGACCGATCCGCAACTCGACTATGCCAGAGTTGTCAAGATTCCCAAGTGCAACAAGTCGCAAGCATCTTCAAAACAGCTACCCGTCAATATTGCCAATGTCTCCAACCAAGAACGCGCGATTCGACAGCGAAAGCCTTGCCACGAAGACATTGCACTTTCAGGGAAAGCCGAAACCCATGCCAAGAATGGGAGCTCCAAAGATGTGGTTTACGCCTGGCAGAGATTTCCTGAAAACGGACCGTTCGGTGAACGGCTTAACTGGACATTTGACCTTGCTACAAACTTTAGGGCAATCGGTAGGTTTGAAACGATTATCTAGCACTTACAAGGAGGTTCCCGGCTAAATTTTTTCTCCAGGCTGGAATTGTTCTATCTCTTCCGTACCAAGACCAGATATCCCAAGCAATATTCGTGATGGGGATCGTGTATCCTTCGACAACATGCCCATTGTGTCTAGAAGTGGCTACTATCGTAACTTGACCGAGAGGGAGTTCGTATGGAACCGTATTTGCAGAGTCCTCCTCCTCACTTTTCTTTTGGACTTTTGCTCTGTTGCGATGGTCAAGGATCCCTACTGTGCCTACGGACCCGATCAAGAACTTGAGCTCCCTTTGTTCCTCCGGCAGCTTCCTCCTTGGTTGCGCTTCATCTATCGCGAGCTCCTTTGTCTTGTTGGTATCTATGCTGCTATCGATGCCATTTTTAGCTTGCATGACCTTTTTCAGTTCTATGTTTTCTCCTACTTTTATCCCATGCGAAGAGAGTTATGGCAGTACACCAACATCTTCGGTCCTATCTCGCAGGTGCTTGATAGAGGTCTTTCTGGTTGGTGGGGGGCATTCTGGCATCAAACCTTTCGTCTTCAGTTTCTTGCGCCCGCAAGGTTCCTCGTTGACCATGGCTATCTTCAAAGGGGAACACTACGTGCTCAAATCGTTACCATGTGTCTATCTTTCATACAGTCCGGTTTACTTCACGCCGGTGGAAGTTTATCGTCCATGCCAACCACAAAACCCTGGAGAAGTCCGCTCTTCTTTGCCCTGCAACCTCCTGGCATTATCTTGCAGCTTATTTTGCTGCAGACTTTGGACAAACATTTCCCCAACTTCCCTCGAAGACTCCGCCAGGCATTCAACATGGTATTCACTCTGGGCTGGCTCTGTCTGACCGCGTTTTTCTTTACCGATGATATTTCATCTTCGGGTATTTGGCTTCTGGAACCTGTGCCGATTTCCCCCCTCCGCTGGCTTGGTTTCAGTCACCCAGACGATCATTGGTGGCGATGGAGAAGATATATGTTCCCAATCTGGCATTTAGACAAGTACTGGTGGAAAGGTGGTATACAACTTTAAAGCCAGCGCATCTCGAAAGAAATATTTTGGCCAGACAGCCGACATATTCGTGAAATCAAGGGGTAAGTCGATTATAGGATATGTCTTAGACTATTCTTCGTGCATAGAAGAGACAAAGTTATTAGAGATAGATCATTTAACCATTTTGATTGAATTTACTATTCGCCTAGCTCATGAAGCCCGCAGGAGCTCGTATTTCTGGCCCGAGGCAAGCCTATCAGCTTCATTACGAAGCCACTTCACAACAGGCTGATAGTTGGTCTGTTTTGCTGCCAATACCTTCTCAAAAGCAAGGCACGCATTTCTATCACTATTAGGATACTTCCAAGCAAGGAACGGCACAGCGATAAACACTTACAGAGCAACTTGGGATTTTCGCACGTCACAGATGTACTGGGGATATCTCATCACCCGAGATCTGCTAGTCAAGAGCAGGAAGGCAACGTCGATCACTTTAGCGATTGTTCCTTAAGAAGATCAGACATTGAAGCAGCCGCATTATGAGTTTGAGCAACTTACGGAGTATCATTTCGCTACTCGGTTGCTGTGTCTTTCCGAGGCAACGCAGGTAAGCGTACATTTTACTCGCAGTCTCAACAAAAGTACTTCGAAGCGAGTTGAGAACGGTTCGGTTTGCATTATGGGACGTGTCATAAAACATCAGATGAGATTGAATCTTGAAAGCGTCTTTATGGTCATAGGAGCCTTGATTAGCAACTCTTTGGGTTCATGTGGTACAGGGGACTAACTTAGAACCTTTCGCCGAAAATTCTGGCCAGGTGTGCGGCCGAAGTCGACCGTGAGAGAAGCAGATACATCTTTCTAGGTGTAAGTACTGGTTTTGGATTGTCCTAGAAGCATGACTCTCGAGCGTACCAATATTTGCATCTCTGTCTCTATCCTTGGTGATATCCAGTGTCTTGCAGTTTATAGTGGTTCCGCAGTAGGGGAATCCTTTCTCATGGTTAGACTTCTGCACGGGCTCACCATCAAATAGCATGTCAAAGTTGACCATGGTCTTGGTCGGGTTGACCGCAACGCCATACTCAGGAAACCCCACATGCATAGCGTTGACAAACTTGATCGCCTTTTCCTGGTCTTGGGTGATTAGAAGAAAATCGTCAATGAGGCGTAACAGTAGGCAGTCTGGCGAACGAAGGAAGTCCAGATGTTTAACTTCAAGGTCAGCATAGAAATAATTGCATAAGAATGAAGATAACACAGAGCCTTGAGGGATTCCGATTTTCTGTCTGTAATATTTCTTTCCAATCTTGACAAGATTATGCTCGACATGTTGCCTGAGAAGATGCATCAGTTCTCCAATGTTATGAGTATTGCGTAAAGCGCTGCCCACAAAGACAGTGTTTTTCTTGTTTTGAGCCAGGTTTTGCTCAAGCCGTACGATGAAATCTGGGTTTTCCTTCTCGCTCAAGGCTGTTGCATGCCATCGTCGAATAGCTTTGGACGAGGACTTGTCGTCAGCTACCACTGCTCGTTCCCCAGGCTTCACTTCTGCGTGTTTCATGATGGTATACTTCGACTGACTTGGCACGGACTTCATCAGATTGACAACTGCCTCTTGTGGGATGGTATCGAAAGCAGCCTTGACATCAGCCTTGACAAAGTACAATTTACCATATTCAGGGCCCAGAGATTGCTTGAATGCTTTCAGCCGGGAATAAATATCGCTGACGGAGAACATGGTTGAACCCAACTTGGACGGGTTGATCCTCTGGGTTTCGAGTCAGCTTCAACCCCTGAATGTTTGTCACCTCACATACCTTCTCTAGCTTCAGCAACGAATGCACGGGACCCAAGATAGTGTTTATACTACGCCCAAGCTTGCTTGAAGGTGCCCTGGTCATAACCCTGCGCCGGAGATTCATGATGGGGCGAAGTTTGTTGCCTTTTGGAAGGAGTCGAACTTGGCTAAAGCCCAGCTTTCGAGAACGTAATACCTGCAGCGCATCATCCAACTTGACCTCTTCAAACATGTCTGCTCTAAGTTCCATCATGGCTGGCTCTGCTATGTGTCTCCAAACTTCATGGCGAAAGTAGAAAACTTGATATCGATGAGTGTTAGACTCAGTAACATAAAATGTGTTTCGGATCAGAGGGATCAAGAGAGAATCAAAAACGAAATAAATGAATTCATCAAAAATCTCCAGGCGCTTTGCAGTATCAGTTTTGCTTGGTCTTTGGTCGCCCAGAACTGGCGAGTGAAGCCAAGAGATATTTGCCATCTGATAAATGATTAG